GGTATTGATTTGCCAAAGGACCAGGGTATTGATTTGGCCAAGAACCATGGTATTGATTTGTCAAAGGACGATGATGATGATGATGCTGATGTGAAGACCAACATCCATGCACACATCTTTTCTGCACGATGTGTTCAGTTTCACTGTTATCCGTCTCTGCAACCCATTGATGCTGTCGAAATGGAGCTACTGGAATCGAATAATCCAGATTTGTATCAATGCTTTCCAAGATAGGCTCTAACCATGTTTGCCACTTACCATGCCATAAAGCATCACTTTTCGTCAGATCGATAACCGCCATGCAGGCGGATTCGAACATCCAACTAAACAGAAATAACCCTACATATAAAAGTGTTGAGGTCGTTATTATCTTCATATTGTGTTGGTTATATTGTTGAAAAGGGTATTAATGAGTACAAAATGCCGTGTACATCAATTTTTATATCTTTCATCTGCTGAATCACTTTCGTTGCTTTCACTATACTGTGCAAATCGAATAACATCCTATCATTAACTCAGAGAAAGATAAAGGTCACAGGAAATTCGATAAGTCGATAACGACGAACGATGATTTGTTTTTATTTCACGCGTTACCAATCGCTGTTTCTTTTGTTTTGACATTGAAAGATTTATCGTTCCTTTGATAGAAGAACAAAAACAAGTAATAGTGAATATGATTTAGTTTTTATAATGAAGAAAAATAACAGGTATACAAATGCTTGAGTATAGGATTATACAACTTACAGGAAACTCGAAGTCAAAAATAAATGTTATGGTGCAGCAGAAACAGAAGGTGAAAAGAATATGACGTGGATGTGTTGTTGGTTGTCTCTTAACCAATATCAGAAGTCATACACCCACACCTAGGGTGTAGTGTGAGTGGGTGTGTAGGTGTGGGTGTGGGTGAGTGTGTGCATGTGAGTGTGTCGGTCAGTGTCGGTATTCCATTCTCCAACGATGCCCATGCCCACATCCACACCCTAACATTTATTTAATTAATATATTATTGGTATTGGTTATTTATTTGGAAGGTTTTATTCGAAGTAGTCAAGCATTAGAAATGATCTCTTTAATATTTTATATAATTGCTGCTGCTTCTATAGTAATCGTTATATTTGATCTTGAGTCATTTCTATTTGAAATTCCATTTCTTATTGCTGCTGATCTTTTATTTCTTTGTAGCATATTTAAATAAAATAATAGAAGATAAACAAATATCTGTTTCCTTTAGTTATATTTTTAGCGGCATCATTGGGTTTGATGTCTGTCCAAGATTGAGATCATCATTCATTGACTTTTCTTGATTGGGCATGGTAGAATAGTCTTGTTGGTTCAATAATGAAAAAAAATCTCTTACTTTTCAATTATTACTTTAATTCTAAATATGGAACATTCTTATTCTTATCCTTCTTCTTCTTCAATGAATTCTTCTCCAAACATGCAAAGGTCATGTGAAAAATCTGTTGAAATTTTTAAATTCAAATTTGTTAATTTCAGAGATTCAGAAGAAAAATGTTTGTGGGTGTGGATGAGTCTGGGTCTGCGTCTAAGCTTCGGCGGACTTAAACCCAACACCTCACACCCACACCCATCCACACCCATTGTTTTCAAACGGTTATAAGACTGTGCTAACGAAAAAAGAATCCTACAAGTTCATTTTTTGAAAATAGCTTTTACCTTCTTTGATGCTCAAAAAAGACAAGTATAAGATCGTCTATTTTCCTATTTTCTGACTCTTCATTCTCAAGACCATAGTGACAGAAAACAATAATTTTCGATACATATGTTCAGTAAGTAAAAAAGAAGAGAATTTCTAAAAGACTACATAAATGTGGTGTGAATTAATCTCAATTTTCGGCAATGAAGTTTCAATTAACATAAGAATGAAAAAACGATTTCACTTAAAGTCGATCTCATGCTGTCGAAAATTTTCATTATTACTCCTGTTCACAAAAGTTGATTGAAGACTAGCTCATCACTTTTAATTATCTTGAGTGAAAGATGGAGGCTAAATCATAAGTCACCATTTTTTGAAACTTACTGAAGATGCACGAAAACTCATATTGAAGATTCAAAAACCATTGTATCATCTCAAGATAATGATCTACTTAACATAGTTCGAACGAATTTCTAAAACCTAACTGTTCTCTAGAACAAACTTCATTGAAAAATTTACCCTATTCTTCCTGATGATTACGAGAAACAATAAAATTCATCAAACTTTGTTTCTATTGTTCGCTCATCTATTTTGACTTCTACTATCATGTTATACATAGATGTTCACTCATTTTGGAATGTCGATTCAGACTATCATATTAGTTTTCACCCAAAGCACAACCTTTGGTCACTTGTGAAGTCGGTAGATATAAAATACTGATTATTATCCATGGTCGGATTCGACCTATATGTGATTGGCATTAATTTTCTTAATCAACTTTCTTAAGGGTACTTATTTCATCAGTTATCAATCGCCCTCATTTGTTGAGTTCTGTTCTCTTTTTCGAATCTGAAGCAAAAAAACCATGAAAAAAGTTTCATGAAAATTTTATTTGAAATTTTCTATTTTTTGGTGGAGGCTCAGCAAATAATTTCATCGTATCAAGTCGAGTTTGAAGACGATTAAAAGCTCCAATTGGTCCTTGTGGATTGTTCGGTGCACTATATGCAAGATAAGCTGCATTTTCATTATAATCCAATAATTAAATTTAATATATTGCCTGTCTCTAATAAATTAGTAAAACATGAATGATTTGATGTATTATACATATATTTCCATGAATAAACATTAAATTCTTTTACACTATATTCAATACCAAGAAATCCAATATTATTATTTTGAAGTATTTCGATGAAATTCTCCAAGACCAAGATGAACTGAACAAGTTTGTTTCGTATCAATAAGCATAGTTAAAGCAATATGGAGTGAATTTGAAAATTGAATTACATCTCGAAGAACATATGTCGATGAATTACCACAATGTAAAGTTATATCTTGTTCAGTTGTAATCCAAACTTTTTGCCCTAAACCAATTGAAACTCAACTGTAAGCTCCAATTGATCCAATGAGACCAGCATAACCAAAATTAGCAAAAACATGTGATGTCGAATATTTTTGTTTGTAATAATCATGAAAATGATTGGCATAAACTTCATAAGATGCATTTGAATGATAGATAGTTACTCTTGCATATTTAACTATTGGAGCTTTTTTATCCCAATCTAATGAACGAAGATGAAGTAATGTTGATCATATTGTAGATTCACCCCATGCTCCTAATATACTGCATGCAGCATTAATTAATTCTGGAAGTAGATTAAGTCGACGAATATCTTAATATAATACACCACTACCAGCAGCAAAACCTTGAAGTTCTTCATCATACCATAGTGGTGTATATTTACGAGTAATATCATAATTAAGATCAAGAGCATCAGGTAAACCATATTCAGCAATCCATTTTGCAACAAGCTATTCAAGGAAAAATATTGAAGCAAAAAAGAAGTGCCATATTTATTTTTATGGGTGTTCCCCATTAGGTAGACAACTAATAAAACATGGTTCTTCATGTAAGACTTCATTTGTATTTAATTTATCTTTACAACTAGGATCTAATAAAGTAACCGGATAAATTATTGCAATAAAACAGAATAATAATTACAAGTTTACTTCTCATTGTTACTATTATGATTGATTTTAAATCGAAAAGAAAAAAAAACAAATATTCAAACAGATGGTTTACTCTGAAGTTGATATTTTTTGTCAATACAATTTTTTTATTGAATTTTCTAAATAGATGATTACCACAAGAAAATACAAATAGTCATTACCTGTCTTAAATAAGCAAATACGACCGGACTAACTAAAGCAATTTATACAAAAGAAAGATAAACTTTTATAGATATTTCTTTTTTGCACAAATTAATGTTTTTTTGTTTTTGAACATAAATGACCAATAACACCAGGGGGAAGAACATTATCACGTGCTGCTTTTATAACAGATTCTCTTGTAATAAGACTTGGTTATGATTGCCAATAATTAGTTTTTGATAATGATGTAAATTTTGCATACCAAATAGATATGTATTATTACCGATTGTTGATAACATTATATTTGTCCATTGTTCAGAATCAATTAATGATTGATTTGATCTTCTTTCAAGTGAAATATTTCATATAACTGAACTAATATCGTTATTTGGTAAATCAGTTAAATTAATAGTCTTAAGTTTTGAATGGTTTTTTTCATCAATATTATTCATAGAAATATTTGGCTTTGAGAGAAAAGATATATGTTTAAATTCGTTTAAGGTTTGGTTCATTTATAGCATTACTATTCGTATCACTGAATTCTTCATCATCATCATCAATACGATTCGATGAAGATTTACGAGTAGAAGATGATGGAATTTGTTTATTACTATCATCGATTGCTTTTAATTCTGCTTGAGCATCTTGTAATTTCCGTTCCAATGATCTATAAATTATTTTATTTTATTCTTTTTGCATAGAAACAGACCTTAAGGGCCACCCTATTTTCAAACCAAAAATTTCAAAACTTTTTGGTTTTTCTGCTCTATCTGTGCTTTCAAGTGCTCTCTCACTACTGGTGACATTTTGAGAACTCAAACATAGCCCTAAATCAAAAATAAGATCGAAAAGATAAAATGATTGCCGTAGGAGTATAGCAAGATTTTTTCTTTCTTTCTTGGTTTTCTATAAACCCGATTTTTCAGCAGAAATCTACAGAATCGCCCCCGTTCCTCAGGTGCAGTACACCAGATCTGGCTGAGACTTTTTAACAGATATTAGAGACAGTTTAGAGTGGCTACTTTTGTTTTGTTTTGAAAAATATAATACCATTGAATTTTTGCAGGTCTCAAAAGACAAGTACTATCCCAAAAAATAGACGTTTTTTGGGTTACTCTTCGTATTTGAACTTTTTTATTCGAACAGAACGAGATAAAAAGAAGCCAAAAAACGTAGGCACCCTACACAATGTCTAGTACCTGTAAAATAGAGTTTCAGCCCCGTATAACATACAACGGCTGAGAAACGGGAACGATTTGGAGGGTAGTTTTTAGCCATTGTGATCCCAATATCTTCTAGAACGAAGCATTGCGAAATTTTGAGTCTCTGACGACTTTTACTCGACACATTGAGATCCATCAGCTGTGAAAGTTTCAAAATTTTCTGATGAGCTCTTCTCGAGAAATTCTAGAAAGGGAAAAGGGTTCCCTTAACAAGAATAATTTTTTTTGTGAAATGACTCTTTGTAAAGTTTCAAGTTGACATCTGGAATTCTATTTTTCTAGACTATGGCATTGGCTTAAAAAATTCCATAAATGCTTGGTATTCGCCACTCAAAAGTGATTTATCAGTTGGAGGTCTTTCCTGCTTAGGGGAGTCACCATGACTGAATAGCTACGTTATTCAACATGTATACATGTCGTAAAGCTACTGAGTTTATGACTAGACAGTACTTCATACCACAATGTTGCACAAAGGCAGAGATTTTTCAGTGGTTTTATAAAGAAACAATAGAAAATTCAAGAACTAATCAGACTTCACGTACAACTCGCTTTACCTATTATTTATAATAAAACAACTTTGCTAATCTTTGATCTCTTGGAGTCTCATGATTTCATGAAATACAAAAATTAGTTCGAAATTTTAGGAATATTGCGAATAAGTTCGAATTAAAAAAATAAAGTAAGAGATAATGCAAGTACTTCTGTTAAACGTTTTTCTAATGTATCATTTTTAACTGTAATTTGTTCATAACATCCTGTTAAATTTTCAATTTCATTTTTA